CACTGATCTTCTGTAATCCCAGAGAACTATGCTAGTACTTGTTACAGTGTTTTCCTGTGGCTCTGCTGCTTTCATTGGCGCTGGCTGGGTGGGTATCTGTGTGTCTGCCTGTTCACTGGATGGATACTTCTAGAGAGGCAACAGCAGACTGTTCCTCTTTCCCTTCTCCCTCCTTTCAGCCTCCAGCATACACATAGTATACCTCAGGTGCTCACGAAATGTCACTCATTGCCAAGTGACCTGCCTAAGGCCACCAGAGCTGTAAAGAACATAGTTTTGAACCCTATACTCTGCCATCACCTAAACCCAGGCCACCTGGCTCTCACCTGCAAACCAGCAGTAGCTGATCAGTCTCCTATGGTCTAGCTTGCCCCAGTGCCCCTCCCCCATTTCCCGCTCCCCCATTCTCTACACATCAGCCCTAGCAAACCTTTAAAAATGTAAATCTGAACTTGGCAGCCCTTTTAGGATCCCCACTGTGGTTAGGATAAAATCACAAAGCCTCCCAGTGTGCTACAGGGTCGGGCAGGGTCACCCCAGCTTTATCTTAAATGTCCTCTTCCTCTGTGCCCCAACCCCGGCAGATTTTTCCTTCCCAGAACTCACCAAGGGCCTTTTTGCTTGTTAGCTTTGGAGCACCAGGTTCGCTCTACAGGGGACAATGCCAGCGTCAGCGCCCCGCCCACCTTTACCTAACTCCCCACTGCCCAGCGCGGCTTCCCCCACGTGACCTGCCTCCTCTGTGCATCTCCTTTGGACATCTGCTCACTGCTGAGTCCTTCACCAGCACACAGTAGGCATTTGATACACATCTGTTTAATGACGTGCAGTAGGACCCTTCTTGTCTCCTCGGTTTCCCGGACGGTGAGTGAGGTGAATTAGCACTCCTCTGCCCAGGACTGATGGGCTCTGAAGAGCCCAAACATTTCCCAGACGCCGAGGAGCCCTTCCCCTGGGACGCAACTGACCAGACTGGACTGAGCACTCTCCAGTCATGCAGAGACCATCCTGGCCACTCTGTCAAGGTTGTGTTCCCGCCAGGCCAGGGTGAGATTCTAATTTGTAAGGAGACACTGGCTGGGGCTCTGGAGTTGTGGGTATGCATTTACACCAGTCCCCTCCGTATCTGTGGAGCAAAGGCTGGGAAACTAGTGTGCAGCGGGTCCCATGGCCCCAGGTTCCAGTGCTGGCTCCAGCACCTGCCAGCTGCAGACTAGGGACTTAGCTACCACCAATCTCAGTTTCTTCATCTGCAAAATTGGACTGACAACAGTACCGGCTTCCCAGAGTTGTGAGGAGTCAACAAGCTACCACTACCTTTAGAGCGCACAGCGCTTGGCACATAAAGCACTTGTGGGTATTGTCGTTGTTATCAACTGATGAATAGTTCCCAAGAGTGAGGACCTGGTTAGCAGGGCTCCCTCTCTATAAAACCCTCACTTCAAGTAGTACTTCCCAGAGGCCATATTTCTTCAACTTTTATAATAAACTCCCAGGTTTATGTGGTTCATTTTTAAGTCAATGGACAGACAAGGGTTGACTGAAGCAAGGGCACCATACTAGGCCCTGGAGGCACAAAGATCAGTAGGACCCACTTCCTGTCTGAATAAGAATAGACTCACTGATACAATTCTGCGGGGCATGTGGTGTAGTGGCCCACAGACTGTTTAAGGAAAGAAGAGATTGTAGGGCAGGGGTGCTTTGGGGGCCTACGGAACCCTGGCGTGGATGGAAACAGGAGGTATAGAAAGAATGGCCACACACACTCCTCCAGGGTGTGAGATTTACTGGGAAAGCTAGGCTGAGCTGGGTGGAAGAGAAACCGGGTATGTATCATCCCCACCCCCCCAGACTGAGAACCTTCTGGCAGAGATGGGAGTGGGAAGTGACCCAGAGCTAGACAGAGCCTCTGCCCTCCTGGTCCGGTGGGTTGTCCAGTGGAAAAGACAAGACAGCATTTTAATCCATGCGCCTCTTCCCCCCTGCTAGAGCTGAGGTATCTAGGAGCCTGCAGGAGGTGTCTTGGGAAACAAGCCCTTGTCCTTGGTCCCTGCAGTCTGCAGATTCCTAGTGGGGGTGTGGTCACTGGAGATGGCACCTTCAGCCTGGGGGTAGGGACTACATCCCCTCCTTTATGCTTCAGCAGCCTTTTAAGGGGGTAACCCTCTGACCTCCAGACTGCTCCCCCTCACCCTCCAGTTAGAAGCCCCTGGGGCAGGAGCTTAAGGAAGGAGGGCTCCAGAGGCCTCAGTTTAGATGCAGATAGGAGACCAGGGCTGGGCCCTGAAAGACTCTGGAGTCCCTTGGGCACGCTAGGGAAGCTCAGTCAAGGCCAGGAGCCTGAGTCAGGTCCATGGGAGTGCAGGGCCGAGATGCGGGTGCCTAGCCCAGGAAGAGGGAGGGGGCGGTGGGCAAAGGGTTCAGCGGAGGGAGCAGGCGGGGCACTGAGAGTCTAGGACACAGGGTGGGGGTGGGAGGGCGAGGGGTCGGGCCAGTGGGGGGGGGGTCGCTCCTGGGGAGGGGCACGCTATGTCTTTAAGAGCTGCCTGAGCGCAGGTTGCAGCTGCCTGGCCAGCCCGAGAGACAGCGGAGATTCATTACCCGCCGACACAATGACCATTGATGGCCCCGTGGCGTTATTCAAATCCAGTACCAATTGCAGCCGAGCCCCTTTCTCCGCGCCAGGCCCGTATTGTTGGAGCGGCCCACTAAAAGCCCGCCCCGGCCCTGAGCCGCCAGAGGCGCCCACTCGGGTTCAGCCCTGCACCTCGCCAGCCCGCCGGCTCCCAGCCTGGCTCACCAGGCATGGCAGGTGACCCGGCGGTGCATTCCAACGCTCCCTGCCGCCCTGACCGCCGCCACCACCACCACTGGCGCCCCGGCCGAGACTCAGCCACAGGGAAGCGGAGAGCACCCAAGCCGGTGCGTGCCCGGGGACAGCGGGGGCGGGGAACCCACAAGTCCAGCAGTCCGGACCTCGGGCTCGGAAATGCACCTGGCCTTGGCCCCTGCTTTCCGGATTCCTGCCGAGCCCGGGAAGCCCAGGCTGGGGGTGGGGAGAGGGGAGTTGGGGTTCCCCGGGCCGATGTTGGAGATTCCCCCAACCTGGGGTGGTGCAGAGACCCAACATGGGCCACTCCAGAGACCCTGGGCCACGATGTAAGGAGACACATGCCAGGGGCGATGGGGATTCCCCAAGCAGGGCCGGGATCCGCGTGTTTGCTCGTCCACCTTACCGCGGTATGGGCTGTGATTGCTGAGCATCTGCGAGGTAGTCGGATGAGCAGCTCCGGCGATCTCCTGGTCCTTGCTTTTAAGGAGCGAAGCGGAACCCCGCAGGAGACCGGGGCCCTGAACTCAGGGGCTTCGCCACTGATTGTCCAAACGCAATTCTTGTACGAGTCTGCGGCCAACCGAGAATTGTGGCTGGACATCTGTGGCTGAGCTCCAGGCGCAACAGGGGCGGGAGCCGCAGGGACAGAGCTCTGGAGGGTGAGACCCCCCTCTCGGAGCGGCGGCTGGCTAGCTCCAGCGCCAGGATTGCGGCCGGCTCGGTCGGCAAAGGAGGGACGCCTGGTCCTGCTGCCAGCGCCGCCATCCTCATAGTCGTCCTCCTTCTCCTTCTGTGCGGGTGACCAGTCCTGGCTGAGGGGGTCCTCCAGTCGATTGCGTCGTTCCCCCTTTTTTCAAATTTCGGCCTGAACGAAGCAACAGTGGGGCCCAATGTGGTCCTGGGAGCCCGCCCTCGGGCCAGGCGCAGGAAGTCGGGAGCAAAAGAAGATGCCGGCAGAATGCGCTCGCCAACTCGTTTTGATTTGGTTTTCACCTACCCCCCCAATACCTCCAATATAAAGAAGTCTAAACTGACCCCTACATTCCCAATAAACTGACCCCTCCCGCCAGCCCCTCCAGAGAGGTGGATGGGCTGAGCCTCCTCCAGCCGCTGCTGGAGGCGGAGAAGAGTGGGGAATGATGCGCTCCAGCTGGGCAACTGCTTGAGCTTTGGAAACCGAACCTGGATAAACGAATCCTTTTCATTAAAGACAAATCTTCGGAGATAGTGGGGCTTATTCGTTTATTTCCTCACAAGCAGGGGTCAGGAAATGTCTGGGGGGAAAAGGCAGTTGGACACTGCTGAGGCTGAGGTCAGGTCACCTGTCCCTGAACCCTCTCAGACTTTGGGCTGAAAATGACCCAAAATGCTATGGACCCTGGTTAGGCACTGGTATCCCTTGCTGCCTCGGAGAACATGGTTTTCCCAGCGCATCTTTCTGCCCCACTGCTCAGCATTCATTGGGTGTGCAGTGGAGAAAGGAATATCCCATATCCCCCTTGCCCCAGTGCAGGTGAAAAAGGAACCCTTTCGCCCAGATTCACAGGACTTGGAACCCTGGATGGGACAACTGGCTACTCCAGCAGGGCTGGAGGCAGGGAGAGATGTCCAGGTTACAGGGATCAGGGGGGACAGGCTGATCCTCTAAAGTGAGGCTGCACGGGGCCATTTCAAGTCCCTTGCTCTGTTCCCTAACATGGACACCCTGACCTCAGCACCTAGTGTGGGCTGGTCAAACAGCCTCTCTAGACAGCACTTTGGATCCCAACACTGGCCTTAATTTGCACCCAGATTAACTCCTATCAATAACCGGAGCATGGCTGCTTCCACCCACACAGGTTTCAGAGGGCCTCCACCTGCAGAGTGCTGGCGAGCTCACTAGCCAGGGGGTCATGGGTCCTTTATGCTTTGAGATTGATGAGAGCACACACCCAGCACACTGCTGGGACAACCAACTGGCATTTCATCCTCATAGAGTGAGAGAAATTCCACCTTAAATTATTGACATTTAGTGAAAAGCAATGTTTTGGGCAGGATGATGTTAATGCCCTAATTTTTTTTTTTTTTTTTTTGAGGTCTCCCTCCAGCAAACAAAGCTTTTCTCCAGGTCATGGGAAGGAGGGGCTCAGCAATCTTATCTATGCCACCCCCATTCTGGGTTCTGGGGCTGCTGGCTGCAGCTGGTGGGACAAAGCCCGGCCTCGGACAGACATGTGAGGAAGTGTTTCCTGGGACCCAGACTGGTCAGCAGAGACTGGCTCTGCCATCCCTTTCTCCAGACACTCTGCCAGATTACCCCCTCCAAGACAGGCTGGGTAGTCTGGGTTTCAACCCTTCCCCCCTTTTGGGTGAAGAGCTCTGAAAGCCCTGGGCGGAGGCAGAGAGGTTGGACCAGATCATGGCTAAGGGGATGCAGGGTGCCATTGGTTTCTAAGGATAAAGCTCCAGGCAAGGCTAGTAAACAACCTAGTCTTTTATTTGCCCAAGGCCAGCTGTTGCAGGCACTGAGGCCCCAAGACTTCCAGAAGGCATGGAGGGAGGAGGGGTGAACCACCCTGCCTACCAGGTGCTGCCTGCCCCCATCCTGCTTCTTGCAGGAGGTGGGAAGGGAGATAAAGCCTACACTTGTGACCATTAGTATCAGTCCCGTTTTCAGACACTGTAATTATTCAGTTCTTGTTGAGGAGGAAACTGAGGCACGCCGACTCTCCCAGGCTTCTATTTGCCAGTCCAAGGTTAAGCCTACTTCCTCTTCTCCAGAATGAGCTGCAGGCAGCCTTTTGCTGGGGGAGGGTCTCAGGAGCCCATCTGGTGGCCTATGGAGGGGAGGCCAGCCAGGGTCAAGGGCTGGGGATGGGGGGAGCAGGAGGAGGGGTGTGGTTGGAAGAGCAGCTGCTGGGTGGGTGGGGGGAGGGGGTCAGCACTGAATAGGGGACCCCAGCTGGGGTTCCATAACGATATCAGTGGGGGACAGGCAGAGCCCTCTGCTGTCCAGATGGATAAACTGAGGCGGGGACTCTTCCAATGTTTGAGAAGGGAGGGGCCTCCTATCAGCTATTCAGGACCATTCATCTTCCTCACGAAGACACTGTGACCTGGAGCTGGAGTGTCTTGTCAGTGGTCACTCAGTGTTTAGATTGAGACATAGGAGTGGAAGGCAGCTGGGTCACCTGGCCCCAGAACCCCCTCTACTCTTGACAAACCAGAGGGGCACCCTCCCCCACTTCAGCTGCTGGGAGAGGGAGTGCTGGGCTCAGGCGCCTGCCTTCCCTGCTCACGTGCCTGTGAAAGGCTCATTTTAGCACCTGGCCTCTTTTCCCTGCCTGGAGGGAGCTCAGGGGACAGAGCAGGGAAGAAAGCAGCCAAGGGAGACGGGGAGATCTGGAAGCAGGGCCCAAAGGGCTATCTAACTGTTCTCTTCTCCCCACCCCAGGGGGGGCCAGGCACAGACAGGGATCCTTAGCCACCGTGCAGCGTGGATATGAAGAGGACGCTGTCCTGGTCCTGAAGCTGGTAGTCCAGCTCACCCTGGTCCAGAAGAGAAATGAGGAGACCATCAGGGCCATTTTCCCAGTTTCTCCCCAGGTGTCAGGAGCGCTGGGGCAGGGGTAGGAAGCGGGGGTGGAGGAGGTGCATCTGGCTGCTTTGGGAAGACAGAATCTACCATAAAACCAAGTACCCTGTACTTGAACTTGTAAATGTCCAGGATGGAGGACAGCTCACCCCTTTCCCCAGCTACCCTTTTCTTCTTTTCTCGGGGCTGGAGACTTGAGTAGCCCCAGTCTGGAGGCTAAAGCGGGACAGAGGATTCTTCAGTCACCCTATTTGGGCCTCACAAAAGGCCCAAGGCTTTCCTACTAAAGCAGTGAGGGGAGGGGCTGGGAGGGGGGTGTCCCCGAGGTACTGACCAGCAGTTCCCAGTCGGCATCGTTAATCAGCACCAGAATTCCTGGCCGCCTGTGGGAAAGATGATGGTGAGTAGCGGGGAGCAGAGGGCAGGGGGCAGCCGGTGGCAAGGGTAGAGAGGCTTAGACATTTGGGCTGCAGGAGAGTACAGTGGGAGCCTCTCCTGCTGAAGTTCCAGTTAAAAATCTCCCAGGAAGTAGAGGTGACAGTCTGAGTCTTTAAAGAAAACATGGTGAGCCCTGGCCGGTTTGGCTCAGCGGTTAGAGCATCGGCCTGCGGTTCTGAGAGACCCGGGTTCGGTTCCCGCTAAGGGCATGTACCTCGGTTGCAGTTTGTCCCTGGCCCTGGTTGGGTTGTGTGGGTGGCAACCACTCGATGTGTCCCTTTCACATCGATGTTTCTCTCTCTCTCTCTCTCTCCCTTCCACTCTATCTGAACAAAATATAAAAAAAAAATGTCCTTGGGTGAGGATAAAAAAAAAAAAGAAAACATGGTGAGATAGTCGTGGCTTTGGGGCCATATGGGAATTCTAATGCCACCTTACAGACCTCAGGCAGGTCCCTGTTTCTCTGAGTGTCATGGGGCAAATGACTGCAGTGCCTTCCCCAGAGGCCTGTGTGAGCATGAACTGGGATGACGAGTGAAGTACTTGCTTGCCCGAGCCTGTGGTGGTACCCACTGGTCGCAGCACGTTTTCCCAGGGGTCTATCTCAGCTCATCTGAACCAGGGGAGGCCAACAGTGACTCTGAGCACCTGAAAGCCCAAGGGCAGCCCGACCTGGTGTAAGGCAGGGTAGGCTGACATTTGAACAGGTACCTTAGCCTGGCTCCTGCTAGCAGTGGCCCAAGGAGCACTGCTATCCTTGGGGGTGGCCTCCATGACCGCTGGTCCATGACCTGAGCCAGGGGCTGGATGGCAGCCTTAACCCCCAGGACCTGCTGGTGACCTGTTTCAGGGCAGATGAATGAGTCCCACAAGTGACCTTGCCCACAGCTTTTACACCTTAGGTTGGTCTTGCTGTAGAAGTAAAATGACTTCTTGCCCCTGGAACCTGGCTCCTTGCCTAGGAGGCTGAGCTGGGCCTGGGGCAGGTACAGAAGCTTTGGGCTGATGATAGGGGTGTCTCTAGTGAGCACAAGTGTGTGTGTGTGTGTGTGTGTGCGCGCGCACGCGCACATGTGCACAGTCATTCCCTGGAATCCTAGACCTCTGCTGTCCAATATGGTATCTATTAGCTGTCTTTAAATTTAAATTACCAGGGGGTGGGTGGGGATTTAAATTACCATGGAATAAACTGAACATTTAGTTCCTCATTCACACTAGCCACATTTCCAGGGCTCGATAGGCTCGTGTGCCAGCAGCTCCCATACTGGACAGCACAGACATAGAACACTTCCATCATCGCAGCAAGTTCTAGATTGTCACAGAATGAAAGGGATCTCGGGCAGCATCTTTTCCTCAGTGCTTTTGAACAGAGAGTGTAGCTGAGGCCCAGAGAGGTGAAGAAACTTGTCTAAGGTTCCACAGCAAGTTCATGGCAACCAGAAGGAGGAACCCAAGTTTCTTGAGAAATTTACCAGTCTCCTGACCTGGGCATTTATAAAATTCCCAATGATCCAGTGTAGAAACAAGAAAAAGGAAAGCTTTTCCCGGAGATCAGGGGGTGATACGGGAGACAGGACATGGAGAAGGCTGTGGCTGAACATGAAGGGAGGGGCTTGCACCTCCTTCCCTCTGCCCACCCTCCTCCAGGAAGGGAAGAAAGGGACTCACACACTGTCTCCCTGGATGAACAGCTCTGGCCGCTCTTTTAGCAAGTTCTTCTTGATCCAGACAAGGAGGTTCCGGATGTCCCCTGGAGAGGAAGGCACAGAACAAACTACTGTTAAACCCAAATTAATCCTGATGCCCAGAGTCTTGCCTGCACCAGAAGGAAGTGAACATGAGCTCAGAGGACCGCTTTTAGGCCAGGCTGTCATGGCCCTGAACTTGTGGATTTCCAAGGTGTAGATGTGGGTTAGCAGAGGCCAGTGACCTGCCAGGAAGGTCTTCAGAGAAAGTGTTACCTAGCACTACTGAAGGCTTGAAGAGGAAACGGGGAGAAGGGGATGGGAGGGAGACAGACCCCCATCCCCAACCCCTGGAAACCGGTCTGGAATAGCCACAGACAGGCTGAGGGCCCTGAAGAGCCCCTCCACCTTTCTCTCTCTGGCCAGTCCCAGAGGGGGAGGATCCTGCTTTGCTCTAGGAGGGTCTGCATATATTTCCCTTTGTGAGGGAAGAAAAACAATTGCTGAGCTGATACCATCAGTTAATTTCCTCCGGCAGAGGGAAAGAAGGATCCTTCACCAGCCAGAGAGCTGACAAATCACTGCCCCACAACCCCCCTTCACAGAGCCCTCCCCACCCAGGGCTGTGGGCAGGTACCCTGAAGAGGCAAGAGGTTCAGGGTCGGAGGGCCTCTCCTGCTCCCCTGGACACTGATATCTGCTGCTCTGTGGTTGTGGGACAGCCACCTAGCTCTTTGCACATCATGTAGAGGTTCAGGGCCACCTGTTCCCAAGATCACCTCTCATTTCCTAGGAGCAGGGTCCCAGGCCACAGCACACTGAAACCTGGCTCTATAAACTCCTCAAACAGACCGCCTCCTGTGGCTGCAGGAGACCCTCCTCTGAGACAACTCCTGGACTGAAGACCCCAGGGAGACCACTAGTCTGAGAAGCCAGCAGGCGGCTTGGGGCTGGCCACCCCCGTCCTGAGTCAGTGTCTCAGGCTAAGCTGGAGAAAAGCCCAGGCAGTGCCTTGGTTTCTCTGCCCAGAGTTTGAGTCCTGGCATGTCGGTGAGGGAAAGGCTGCCTGGGCAAGGAAGCTCTTCCCGTCTTGGCCCAGAAGCGTGTCACACACACAGGACCAGCCTTGGGCAGGGTTGTAAGGCACTTTCAATGGCCTGAATAACACCTCCTGGAAGGCAGCAGGCTACACCCTGGATAGACGGGCTCACTCTGCTCCATACCAACTTCCCTGGATTGTGCTCCAGAAGAGCGATGGACAAAGTATCCACAGACAGAGTGTTCGTGGGCTGAGACTGCCCCCTTTCCATTTTAATTCCTACTTTTATTTATTTATTTATTTTTTTGACGTGCCCCTAGCAGGAACCGAACCCGGGACTCTGTGGCTCACAGGCCAACGCTCAAGCCCTGAGCCAAACTGTCCAGGGCTAATTCCTACTTTTAAACAAAGCAGGTCGGAGTCCCCGTGGTTCCTGGAGTGGGCAGGGGACAGAGACTGTTGCCTCCAACTAGCTGCTGTCCAGGAGAAGTCCTGGCTGTGCTCCTCCCCGAGGCTGGGTTTCAGAGGTTTCCCCTCGGTCTCCATCTCAGCACTGTCTAAGGGGCCGCCAGCCCATACATCTTGTGGCCGCTCGATAGAGCCGCCGGAGTCTGACACATCCATCAGCCAGCCCTGGCAGGCAGGGTTCTGCCTATGTGCGCAGAGGCACCAAGAGGGACTGGGTAGTGCCTGGCCTGGGGGCCACCAGCCCTGGCTGTCCTGTATAGAACCAGACCCAGTTGTGTAAAGGGAGGGGGGACTTCTATTTCACTTTGGATAGGCTGGGGGTGGGGTGGCTAGTGGTCATGTCGGGGTCATCAGAGTGATGGCACCATCATGGAGTCCCAGAGGGGTGGGCTGGGCGGTGAGTCTGCTGCGGGTGCTGGCTCATTTATCATGATGCTCCTCTTTGCTGAGGTCATTCCCTCCCTCCTCTGCACCCCCCAGGCCTGCCCACATTCTTGATAACCTGTTACCATGGTGAGGCCACCACATCACCATCCTTATTGTTCCCCCATGCCTGGATTTGGGGGTGGGGAGAGATGGGACTCATGGCAGGCTGCAAGGGCCACTAGGACTAGCCTCAAAACACACCCCCTGGGACATCCTGCTAGGCTTGCTGAGGCCCAGACAATATGCAAATGGCCTCCAAGCCAGATGGTCGGCTTCCAAAGGCACCCAGGGGAGGAGGAAGGGTTAAGCAGAGTCAGGGGCTGGTGGCTTGAGAATGGCTCTGGGGAATCTCACTCACTTCCCCGTGTCCTCCTGCCTTTCCACTGCTACAGAGGGTGGCTTTCCTCTTGGGATCCCATGAATCATTCGCAAGATAAATATTTACCGAGCAACTACTATGTGCCAGGTGACAGGGATATGATGGTGAGCAAGAAAGACAGAGCCTACCCTCATGGAGCTGACAGGCCCAAAGAGAAGCCAGACATTACTTACTGAATCAGTTGTGATAAATGCTACCTCCTTTGTGTACAATTGGGAAAAGCTTTTCTCAGAATGTTAACATCAAAGCAGAGGCCAGAAGGATGAGTAGGGTAGGATGAGGGAGCATTCCAAGCAGAAGGAAGAACATGGGAAGACCTGAGGCAGAAGGGAATTGGCAGGTTCAAGGTAACAGAACAGAGAAGGCAAGATAGGCATGAGCAGTAGCCAGGGGCCAGATCCTACAAGGCACATGTGGGCCTTGAGAAGGGGCCTGTCCTGAAAGAGACCTCACTGTGCCCCCCGCAGGGGTATTCATCAAATCTAGGCTCTAAGAGGGCGAGCGCGCAGAGCCTACACTGCCAGGGGCTGTGCTGAATGTTTCTCAGCCTTGACATACGTATCAAGACCCAGTTCAAATATACAGCGTCCCCAGCACTTGAGTGTGCTCTGAGAACCCCGCACCGGCCACAGCATACAGCACAGAGCCTCACACACAGCCCTCAACTCCACTTCCTAGCTATATGACCTTGGGTAAGGAATTCCAGAGCCTCGGCTCCCTTCTTTGCAAAATAGGGATGGTAAGAACGTCTCATAGGGCTATGTGAGGATCAAATAAGATGATTCATGTAAAGCTCCTGGCGCTGTGCCTGGCATATATGCTATAATTCTTCTATGATTCAAAATAACCTGTACCTTTTGCCCTCTCTTGATGTCCTGAGCTTCCACACTCTCTGCCCAGGGGCCTAGCACCCTGGGGATATGCTCAGACCGCTTTGGAGAGTGGGGTACAGTCAACCATTAATCAGACAGTGCTGGGACTGGCTGGGTTTTTTTTGTAGGATTCACTACCTTTCTTTTTTTAAAAAATCCTTACCCAAGGATATGTTTTTATTGATTTTGAGAGAGGAAGAGAGAGAGAAGAGACAGAGACAGAGAGAGAGACAGACATAAATGTGAGAGAGAAACATCAATCAGTCGCCTCCAGGACGGGCCCTGACCGGTGATTGAACCTACAACCTGTGTTATGTACCTTGACCAAGAATCAAACCTGCAACTTTTGGTGTTCAGGATGACACTGCAACCCACTGAACCACCTGGCCAGGGCGGATTCGCTACTTTTCCATCAGAAGTCGGAGAGAGATTGAGAGAGTGGTGATGGGGCCCAGACACTGGCTCTCTCTCCATTTTAGATGTTCAGGCTCCTACGATGCTGCCAGGACAATCCAGCTGGAAGGAACCATCCCGAGGCCGTGGGTGCTAGAGGCCAGACTGCCCCTGGGCACACAGACCCACAGGAGGGAGAGGAGCACCCTAATACAAGGTTTCCAGTGCTGGAAGCCTTGGGAGCTGCTTGCTGCTCTGGCAGAATGGTTAAGGGTTTGGTTTCTGCAGCCAGGAACTGTGTGCTCAAAGGCCTTGGATCAGAAGTCACTTCATCTCCCTAAGTCTCAAGGTCATCCTCTGACAAATAGGATAATAATCCAACTACCAAAACGCTGCTGTGAGGATTCAGGTATGCTAGCAGCAGGCCTGACACAGCATCAAACATACAGGACAAAGGTACATTTATCCAGCGACTTAGGAGTCCTTACCTCTGGGGTGCCAGAACCTCCTAAAAGCTGCTGGCAACAGGGCACCATGCATGCCCCTTATAGAGCATCTATAAAAGCTTCCACCAGAATCCCTCACTCCAGTGGACTTGTCCTTGCCTGGGAACACCGGCTACCCACTGTGGCAGGGCCCTCCAACAGCGTCAATCCTAGCTTCTCAGGCTGAAAGCGAACAACCTGAAGGTCTTACCCAATATTGAATCCTGGCTGCAACAGACCCTCATCCAGCCTCTCTTTGAACGCTCCAGGGAGAGCTTTTTTCCCAACCAGATATCTATCTTCCTGTCATTCCCACCGAGCCTGGTTGGCCCATGGAGACTACACTAACAAATGTGTCCCCTCTTCCCCAAGCCTGCCCTGCAGATTTGGGAGATGGATCCCAGATCCCCTGAGTCTTCTCTTCCATAGGTTAAACCACTCCTGTCCCCACCAAGTCTACTAGGCTTCAAGACAAGGCTCTTCTGGGAGGCTACCCCAGGCTTTAGCTGTAAAGGGAGAAGAAAGAGCTGGGATGGGGGGAATAAAAGAGAAGAGAGGGTAGAGGGAACATCAGAGGGTCCATTTACAAGTGAATGGGGGTAAGAATGGAGCAGTTTGTGGGCTAAACTGGCCTCAGAAGGAGGTTTACAGATGTGCGAAGGGACGCTCCTCATTGTTTAATTAAGCAGAAAGTGGATCTTTTCAAAAGCAATTTTGCACAGGGACTGGGAGGGGTGGGAGGGAGAGAGGATGGCGGGAGGGGATCAGCAAACAGGCCCCAGAGCAAAGAAAGGAACAGCTGGCCCCAGAGAGGTTGTGAAATGCATAATAAGCAGTTTAAAGTATCAGGGAGCTCCCTCCAACTCCTGCCCTCCCCTGTCAGCTACCCTTTAACACAATGGCAGGCCAAAGGCAGAGAGAGGGGCATGGAAAGGTGAGGCATACACACTTCCTCCTGGAGAACAGGGCAGATAAGACCCATGCTGAGGCAGTCTGTCCAGCA